GAATAGATATTTAACTTAATTTGCAAAATTATCTAAATCAATAATGTATGCATAATATACTTTATACAAAAAAAGATTAGAACAAGCTAAATATTGTAGATAAATTAGAAGCAATATTAAAAAACTGATAATACTTTTTAAAAATATTTATTTTTTTTATTAGAGTTTATATAAATTAAATTAAAAATATTCTTATTGACTTGTAAATTAAATTATTATTTCTTTTCTGAATCTATAAAATATTTTAACATGCATATATAAATAACATATTATAAATTTTAATATTTATCAGTTTTGTAAATTTTTTAATATATATAATAAACAGTTTTTTACTAAGCCTAGTTTTATTTTGTAGATAACTAATAATTTTTTAACAATTAATAACAGTTTAAAATTTAAGTTCTTTTTATTAAAATAAAAAAAATTATATACAAATTATAACTATAAAAGCAAACAAAAATAAAAAATATATCTTAAAAAATAAAGTAAAAACTTAAAATTAACTGTTGTACCAAAATAAAAGATAAACAACAATTAATAAAATTTTATAAAAATAAAGATAAATTTAAAGAATTTTACTATATTATGAAAACAAACAATTATTATAGCTCTTTATCTTTTTACTAATACTGTTTTTTGAAGACAAAAAATTTTTGCTTGCAATTAAAGCAAAAGATAAATAAAGAAAAAACAGCTAACTTCTGCTTAATCTTAAAAAAAGTACAAATACAGTATTTTGTAACTTTTAAATCTGTACTAAAAAATACTTTTTTTGGATTTTGCTAATAATATTAATTTAATTTCTATGCATATATTATTTTTATTAACTAAAAAGATTTTGTGCTTTAAACTATAAAATATTTATAAACATATTAGGCTTTTTTAAGATTATTATAAATAGTTTTTAAGTGATTAATTTTTTATTAAAATTTTTTTTAATAAATATATTTTGCATTTAGAACTTAACATTATGTAAAAAAAAAAAGTTAGTTTGTTTTATTATCTTAGAATATATTTATGTATTGCTCAAATCACATAATATTATTTGCTATATAAAAAAATTTATTAATAAAAAGAAAGAAATAAAGTATAAAAATATGTTTAAAATAAATATATAAAATTAAACACATATGCAATAATTATTAATTAGCTAAAAATAAAAACTAATAATTGGCAAGACTAAATTAATATATCAATAACAAAATACATTTTAGTAATAGTTTTATTTAATTAATATAAGCCAGTTTTTAACTATTATTATATTTAAAAAAGTTTATTTAAAACTTTTATTACTGATTTTGAAAATCAAATATTTTTAAATGAAGAGTTATAAGTAAAATTATTTAAATTTAAAGACTGTCTAAGCTATATGCAATTATATAATATATAACTAATAAAATTATTATAATTAATACAGATTAGTCTAATAAAAAAATAAAAACTGTCAAAAATACAAAAAATAAATATTAAAATCTATTTTAAATTATTAATAAAAAATAATTAAAAAGTAATTTTATTATAAGACTAACTTATATTTTAACTTTTATTCTAATTTTTTACTAATTCTTATTTTAACTTTAATTAAAAAATTAAAAATATATAACTGCATATAGTTTTTAATATACTTCAAATTAGAAGTCTTTAAAACTAAATTAAAAAAAGTTATATTTTAATATTTTTAAAAGTTAGTAGTTTTTTAAATATCAAAAATATAATTTATGCAGTATATAGATTAATATATAAATTCTGTACTGCTTTTTAAAGACTCTCAAATTAGATTTAGTCAATAAAATTATAAATATTAATTATATAAAAAATATTACATATTAATTAACTAATAAAATTATAACCTTTTATAAAATAAAAAAATATAATACAAAAAAATTCTGTATAATTTTTAAATAAATTTTTTATACTTTTTTGATAAGATAGTAGTATTATTAAAAATTTGTGCTATATTTTTATTTTAGTTTTTTCAACTAGGCTTCTTGTTCTTTAATTTTTATAAATTTATATAGCCACAAAGACTTATTTTAAATTTGCATTACCTGATATCAGTTTGTATTTTTTTGTATAACTAGTTAGGGGACTGACACTTATTAGCTCATTATACCTCTCTGGAATTTTTATTAGACCTACTCAGAGTCAGTCATTTGACAATCCAAAAATTATACAAAAATTATATAATATAGCTTAACTAGTATAGCAAATTAGACAAAAATTATATAATGAGGCTTAGCTAGTATGGCACAATTATAAGTTATTTTTCAAAATCATGTGACCAGTCATGTGACTTAAGAAGGATTCTGGGCCAGTCATGTGACTTAGAAAATATTCCGAAAAAGTTATGTGACTTAGGGAAATATTCTGGAAAAGTCTTTGAACACTAAAGTGTCATTTAATTGGCTAATAAATTTAATTTAATTTTATATTATCTATAAAGTTTAGAGTACTTTTTTAAAAAAATGAAAATCAACTATAATAATGTAAAAAAAACTATATAAAAGATTCATTAGAGCTGTAAGATTCTATAGTCAAAAATAAGATTTAATTCTCATACGTTTAAAAAAATTAGCTTGATAATAAGTTAATTTTATCAGATTTTGAGAAATTATTATTATACTAACATTTTTAAATGAACAAGTATTAGATCTTATTTTTGGTTATGAAGTTCTACAGCTTTAATAAAACCATCTATATAGTTTTTTTCATTATAATTAGTTTTCATTGTTTTAAAAAATACTTTAAACTGTATAAATAATGTAAAGTTAAATTTAATTTATTAGCCAATCAGATGAACTTCTACCTATGAGTTCAGAATTATAATCTGGTATTGTTAAATTATGTGTGTGGAAACTTAAAATTATGCGAACCTAGAGATTAAGCTTAAAAAAATTCCATTTTTTGACCAATCAAATTTCAATATCAGAATGCTGTAAGTATATATACCAGGAACAGAATATAGTATAGTTTACTTAATAGTGAAATGGTATGTACGATTCTTAAGATATGATTGGGTTATCCTTTATCGTAACCTTGTACAGCACCCTGAACAATACTTTAAAAGATAGGTCTAGAAACAAATGTCTCTGTACAGAAAGTCTTGGAATTGATTGGTCTGCATGACTTATTTGTAGTTTAGTAAAAAAAAACTTATAAATGAGTACATACATCTGTAAAATCAAAGATGCAATAATAAACAATAGTAAAAATATTTTTTTTGGCACAATAATCAGTGAACCAATGTAAATTTAAAGTCCTTAATGCTAAATATTTGATAATTTTTATTTTTTTTCATCGAATTTTTTATTAAGCAGATTAGATTTTAATGTTTTTTGCAAGGTTTCAGAATCTTTGATCAGATTGATCAGAACTGAGTGATGTTAGCTAACCAACTATATAGCAGTTAGACATTGACTTTATTAATAGGTTTTTAGGCTCAGTAACTAAAATTTAAATCAATATTCAGATTGCAAGTACTATTAACTTTATAAAGAGTTATTTTCTTATGCCAGAAATGCATTGCAATGAAGAATATAGTTTTCTGTAACTGAAATGGTGTTTGCATAGATTTCGACAATGTTGCACAGCTACTTATTCCAAAATATAGACCTTATTAAATTTGGAGCTATTGATTTTTAAAAGTGTGTTAGGTATATGATAGTTTAGCCAGCATTATTTATATGATCCTACCCAGAATTGGTCAGCATTAAAGTATAATATAGGCTAACTTAATGACAAAATTCTATGTAACATAATCTATGTAATGCCAATTGATCAATAGAAATTTCTTCAAATACAAATTATATAAGATTATAAGTTGAATTATGCAGATATTATGCTGGATCATAATTCTAGATGCTTTAAATTCTATATAAAAATTACATGCCCAAATTAGCTGCTGCATTTATTCAAAATTTGTCTAATCATGTCTCTAAAGTTATATTTAGATGAGTACTACAAAATAAAAAATATTTTTGATAAATGAAATGTTAAGTTGTCTATAAGTAACCAGTTCAGATTTGGTCTGAACTAGTGATATGCTGCGTACAGTACTATACGTACTGTACATTGTAGAGGGAAAGTGCTAAAGGTAATTGTACTAATATAATTAAATTATACTATCTAATACTATGCACTAGCAAATTTCCAATAGACAAGACTAAAAACCCAAGTTGGTAGGCCATGATCGAGGCATGAAGAAACTTGGTCTGAGTTTTGAGGTCTTTGAGTCTTGCGAGAATACTACTGAGACCTGGATAAGTATCTTTTTTACCTTCTATATATAGTTCTTACACTTAATATGTTGGTCAGGTATTAATATTATTATTATATCTTTTCTTATTACAGGTATACTGCTTATTTCGGGTCACGTGTCTCTAGATCACAATTGAATTTGAATTACATATGTATTATGGAACAATAGGTCTAATCACAAACTTAATTAGGGTTATATTTTTATATATATAAGGGCCTGATTACTAATAAATACACTCTTTTTCTCTTATTCAATAAAAAAAAAATAGTGTTTACAATAGTCATGGGAACAAGAGTAAATAGCAAGATATGAACTCAAATTATGTTTAAAAAGTAAATGATTAATAGATACTTTTAATATTATTTTTAAAGTTTTTATTTTTTTTTTGAACTATTTTACCCAATTTTAACTAATTTATTGATTTTACTAATCTTGTTGATCTTTTTCATTTTTATGAAAACACAAAAATAGATACCAATATTATACTATGACAGCTGGTAACACATCATAAAAGGGGAACTTCGAATTAGCTGAGCTCAATTATGGCATTACAAAATTTTAGAAGATCTAATGAGAATTCTCAAATAGAAATAAAAAGAACAAAAAATTATATTGACTATTACAAAAAAAGTTGCAGCTGGAAAAGTGAATAATATAATATTTATTTATACTCAAATTGGCAGATATGCATACTTTAGCAGAGGTAAAAAACAACTAATTATTTTTTAGATGATCATTCCTGTCATTTTGGATGTTGATTTCTCATATATTGAGTAATCATTAAACCTGTTAGAAAATATGCACTACAGATTGAGCAACAAAGATTACTATAATTTATTAAGAAGGGACAGTGCATGTTATAACCAGGTAATTTGTCTATATTATAAAACTTCAATACATAAAGTAAATTTAAATAATGTCCATCATTTCCTTTTATAACTGAAGGAAAAAAGCCATCATTTAACACAAGAAAATCAGCTGCATCTTTACAATGTTTAGATGTACAACACTGAGTGTTATCATATTTTCTAATATCAATAGAATATTGACATATTTTAGTGTGGTTTTCTAGCCACCTCCAAGTAGGTTCATTAGTATTATTATCATTAGATTCAAGAAATATGACATCATCAAATGGAAAGGCTCTTTGGTCTGTATACTTTGTTATATCTTGTTGTCCAAAAATAGGATCCTGACTCCATAGATCATATAAGACTTTACCCGCATATTTAAAAATTTTTTTAGCGAGCTTTTGATTAATTACTTCATCTTGAAAATTTAGATAAGAACTGTATTTATCAGCTGGCAAAACAATTCTTGCAAGCTTCTGTGAAAGTGTTGACATACCTAAAAGATATTAATCAAAAAAATTTTGTAAATTGAAAATATTAATAAAATGGTCCTTTAGGACTATGCAAATTATAGTCCGTAAAGAACTTTTTGATAGCAAAAATTCCAATTAATTAGTTATTACAGTTAGACCTCGATATAATTATTAGTTAGTAATATTGGTAACCAAAATTCAATAGATTATACAGCATGAACTAAAGTACCCTATTGATGTGATTTTTTTGTCAGTTATATAAAAAAACCTACAAATTATATATCACATGCATATCTAAATAGCACTTTAAAAATTGATCAGCCCTATTTGTCATGCTGGGTACTTTAGCCCATTTCCTATAGTAACTAAGGTAATTAGTAAAAAATTTTTTTACAACTTGTGACTTTATCAATTATATCGAAGTTTAAACTGTATATGTCTTTAAATAATTTATTAACTTATCAATATAATGATTATTATTAAGATATCATTAAACATATTATGTTCAACAGGATTGTAGGCTGATCAATAGGATGCATATGTTCGAATTGTCAAATAATCTAAATCAAATGCACAGAACATTTTATTATATTGAATAATGTTCTTCATGTGTTATGGGTTCTTGTCTGGACCTCCATCCACCAAAAGAACCCAGATTGGTTTAATAGTATTCTCAAGTTTTAATATTTCATTAAGGTGATTATTCTGAGTTAATAATATTAAATCTTCTATATGCGAAGCTGAGCTTGTACCACCATGGTATTGAGAATGAATAAAGATTGCAAGTTGCCTATTATATAGAGTATTATTATTATTCTTTGGATTCATAAGCATATAAATTGACAAAATTAGTTTATGATATATGGCATTGGAAAATCATAGTCTGGCAACATAATGGGTTCTTTAAGACTCTGAACAGCTTGAAAAGTTTTTCCAACAGTAGGAATGCCAAGAGGAATCTTGGCCTTATCATCTTGAAAGATAATTACAAAGTGAGTAGAGAATCTTATTGCAAATTGCTTTGCCTCTTTCACAGATGCAAAACAATAATATGTATCTGGATGATCTTTTCTTTCATTTTGTATAACAGAAGAACTGCTGATATTTGCCAGATAGTGATGAGATTTTGCTGCTATTAAATTAGATCAGCATAGTAGCATATAATTATTAAGGCCAGTATGAGATATATATTCATTATAGTTAGATTCAAGATTCTCTCAAATATAATTGATTGTTCTAACTTTTATAACTTCTTTTCATCTTTTTTTATCTGCACTATCAAATTCAACACATTCATAAATATGTTTATGTAAATTTGGATATTTAAACATAAATGACAGTTGACTTAAAATAGTATTATATTTGAACTATAAATATATATATAAAGCAAAATTTTTATATTCAACTTCTAAAAAACCAGTTTAAAAAGAAAATAACTGTATATGAATGTCACAAAGTTAAAATATGCAAATCATAAAGGAGCATGCATGAAAACCTGTGCTTATCAGGTTCACTAATTTTCCCCAAGTTATTTTTGGTTATGTGTAAATCGCATTTCTAATCGATGACCTTTAGTACATGATGCAGCTTCTTTAATAAGATTTGCATAGTTTAACTTTGTGAAACTCCTATAAAATAAGTATATTAACTTTCATGTTTTTACCTGAAGAATTATATTTTTCAATTATTTGCTGTTCTTGTAAAAGTTTTGCCTTTTTTTTAGCAGTTAATGTATATAATCTGCCTAACGTTTCAATTTTGTTATTTATTTATTTTCTATATTTAATATTTGTTTAAGAGTTGCAATATGTTCTAACAGATTTTTTTGAATCTTCAGATCAGTCATGATATTTTATATTCATTGACATTTAGCAAGTTTTTTGTTGGCTTTATTTATAGCATTTGCAGCTTGTTTTTGTGCTATAGCATTAGGAAAAAGAGTATCAACAACAACAATTTCATTAATTAACTTAGGTAGTGATGAATTTAGAATAGTAGTATTCAGATATTCATCAATTATGTCTTCAATTTCTTTTTTGGGCTTATTATGAACTTTTTTTTATTCCTCATTACACTCTACAACTAGATTTGCTTTTGGATATTTAGAGTTTTCTGTATTTAGTATGTGGCTATAACTAAAAGCATTACAAAATTTTTGGTATTGATTTATTGGATGTTTATAGATATATGTTCTGTCATATTTTGGGTTAACTGAAGATGCTATACCAAAGTAGAATAGATATCTTAAATAAATAATAAAGTATTAAAATATATCATCTTTATTTATATCTCTACATTTAAGTTTATTAATTTATCAATCTTATTATACAATAGTTTTTATTATTGTAGCTATTATGTGAATTATGTATTGAAGCAGAACCATAATGACACCTCTAAATGGTGAGTTAGTTGCTCCACAATTGGATATGTCATCATGTAACCTACGAACAGGTTTAGTTGATAAGAGGCAGTTTATTTGGCGACTATGATTAAGATTATAAGTATGACTCTTTCTTTCTACTTGTTTTAAACCTTTCGATATGGCTTACTAACAAACTATCTATACGATATATTTTTTTCTAGAGTAAAATGCCTTTATTATATACTTTTAATTACATATGCACTCCTAAAGCTATTAAACATATCATATATAGCTTATCTCAAAACTATTAATTTCTATAAATCTTACTAATTATTATTCTCTCTTATTGCATTAATAACCCTTTTAGTCACTAGACCTGAAGCAACTTGGTACTACTTCACATCAGTTACTCTATTTCACATGCTTCCGAGATTTTGGTCCTAATCCTAATGATTAATCATTCAATTATTGAGTTTTTAAATGAAAACGTTATGGTTTTTTAAAAGATGTTCATAATTCATATCGTATTAAATCTATTCTATATTAATATGTCAAAAATGATATTCTATTTATATCATGTGGGTTTTGGACTAGTTCTGAACTAGTCCTCAAAAAAGCTCAGTTCAGACTAGTAATATGTCATTTATATAATACCCGAATTTTTTTCATGTACAATACGTATAGTATATATAATATGTATAGTATGTATCTAGCAATTTGGTTGGCTAGTAAAAAGGATTAGCAAAACTTTTTATATATGTTGTGAAAGGGTAAAATGTATCTTAATAGTTACTGTAGTCCTAAGGTAGTACAATTCTAAAAATTCTCAAAATCACCAAAATCACAAAAATTATAAAAACCTAGAGATTTTTATAATCGTAATAATAAAGATAATTTTCAACATTATCTAAATATGTAGTATTCACTAGATAGCAATAATAATAAGTAAAATAAGAATAGATAGTATAGTTAGTATTAGTAACATTTCTATTATTTTATACTATATAAAAATAAGTATATAAGTAATAACACTTTCTTCAAAATACAAAAGATATACTTGGGGATTGCAACTTCAATAGTAATCTAGTAAAAGTATCCAAATAGTCTTTTACCTTTTAAACATAATCTGAGTTTGTATCTTGCTATTTACTCTTGTTTCTTTAACTATCATAAACACTATTTTTTTTTTATTGAATAAGAGAAAAAGAGTATATTTATTAGTAATCAGGCCAGGGTATGGGTCCCATAGCTTAGCGGTTAAGCTCCCATGCCCCCACAGTCAAGGTCAACGGTTCAAGTCCAGCTGGAGGCAAA